CTCTTCTTTGTGGTAACCCCTGAGATATTGGAACACTGCTATCATGTCTCCCCTAGTCCTTCTTTTCATTAAACTAGACATACCCAGTTCCTGCAACGAGAGCTGAAGAAGCTTCTTGAATGAGAAGCAAAACGTCTTCAGAGGAAAACCAGAAAGTCCAGTTGCCTCTTGAAAAAAGCACCTTTGAGACAACCATGACCTGGATGACTGAGAATCTCCATAGACATGGAGCCAAGGGAATTTGTCACATTTGCTCCATCCACAATCAGAGGCTTTCAAAGGGCATCAAGTCTGCATTTCTTTTGCTAATCCCTTTCAGACATCGGTTATTGATTCTCTAAATAAGTTAGATACTTTCAAAATGACGAGGCTGAAAAACTGAAGCACGGCCTGTATCAGTTCTGAACATAAGAAAATGAAACTATCTTCGTAAGTTTTAAAGAGTTTTTAAAATAAACCACAACAAGCAAGATAAGGTTTTTGCTATAGAAAGTTTTAAGCGGACTAAAGGCGCAGAAAAAAATAGAATATTTGATTTTGAATAATAAGATTTTGAAATTAATTTTTAAAAAAGAAATGCACTTTTATGGGAAAGAAAAAATGAGTTTTGATATTGGAGACATAACATGGTAAAAAGTTTGGAGGCATTTTTGCATCAGGACCTTTAATCAATAATGTTGTATGTTCTTAGGAACAATTTGTTCCCAGAAGAATCTGTTACAGAAAAAGATTTACAGCAACATTTATCTGAAAGCAACATGAATAAAAATTTGTCATTACACATACAAAAAAAAAATTGGATGAGGCTTTAAAAATTAATAGGAAATAAACATGCTGATCCCAAAGAGCGATTGGAAAAATTTCTTCTTGCTAGACTTATAAAAGAGGCTTTTTTAAAATTTGGAAAAAAATAGAAACAAGGATCAATAATCCGAATGGACTAAAGAGTAAGATTATTTTACTCAAAAAGAAGGAACACAAACTTGGTTTATTTGATCAGGGTTAAAATGGGATGTTATTTGGGGTGAGGTTTTTTTTTTGAAGTTGCCGACATTTGGATTGGAAAGATGTTGTGTTTTGGATTTGCTTACAACTGATATGGTGTTTAGGCCTTTTTCCCTGTAGTCATTTTATGTAATCTGATAGTGTTTAAATTGCTTTGTAATTGTCCTTTTACTTAAAATAAGAGATCTTGTGAGCTTGTTCTTCTTAAAAGGACAATTTGTCCCTCTTGCTATGTTAAATATCAATCTTTTGTTCATAGTAGGTTACTGGGACCACTTTATGCCTTCTAAATGTGCATCTGCTTACAAGTTAAGATTTGAGATATGGTAAGATTTATATTTGTTAATTAATGTTATTACTTTAGGGCTGGTTGGATTTTTTTTTTTGCTGATACCCAGATTGGAGATGTTACTTATTGGATTTACCTATTATTTACACTTATGGAATGCAACATTTTGGATCTACTAATTAAGAGGAGGTGAAGAGATAGTGAAATTGTTTATACTTGTCATGATGAGAGTGGGAAATCACTTTTTAGGGGATTTTTCACCTTTAATTTTGTTGCTTTCTTCCACCTTTTATTCTATTTTTTCTTTTCCTTTTTAGTTGGTATTACTTTTTACTATTGTATTTAAAAATCCCTTAATAAAATAATTTTAAAAATGTATTGAGGGTAACATTCCATTTTGATGAGGCCAAATTTAAAGTAACTAAGTAAAGTAGGTGTTATGTCAGTGGTGAAATCTAAAATTTGTTACTACCGGTTCTGTGGGCGTGGCTTGGTGGTGGTGGGGTAATGTGACTGGGTGGGCATGGCCAATTTTTTTTTCTTTTAAAACCATTTTTTCTACAACCTCTTCGGCGAAGAGGTTGTAAAAAAATGCTTTCAAAAGGCTCTGACAATCCCAGCTGAGTTGCCTGATCAGCAGAGGCTTTTTTTCTTTTAAAAGCCTCTGCCGATCAGGCAACACAGCTTGGATCGTCAGAGGCATTTAAAAGAAAAAAAGCCTCTGCTGATCAGGCAACTCAGCTTGGATCGTCAGAGGCTTTTAAAAGAAAAAAAAAACCTCTGACAATCAGGCAACTCAGCTTGGATTGTCAGAGGCATTTAAAAGAAAAAAAAACCTCTGCTGATCAGGCAACTCAGCTGGGATCATCAGCTGACAATCCCTTTGACGATCCCAGCTGAGCTGCGCGATCATCAGAGGCTTTTTTTTTTTACTTTTAAAAGCATTTTTTCGGCCAAAGAGGTTGTAGAAAAATGCTTTTAAAAATTAAAAGAAAAAGCCTCTGATGATTGTGTGGCTCAGCTGGGCGTGGGGGGGGGCAGGGATTTTTGTTATCGGATTGGGTGATCCAGTCCAAACCGGGAGCATTTCACCCCTCTATTATGTGTATGGATGCATCCTGAAATAGTCAACAGCATTATTTCCATCTGCATGTCCTGTGCATGTCTACTCAGAAGTAAGCCAGGGCAGCCAAAAAGCTCTGCAAACATATTCAGAAGTCTTACTAGTTTCGGTGTGACTTCCGGTGAAGCAAGTTGTAACCACTTTATAGAAAGTAAACAAAAAAATCCTCAATAAATCATAACCCACAAGTCTTTGTGTCATTCCTTCCTCAATTTTTCCATCTAATACAAAACCGTCTAGCACAGTGGTTATAATGCAGCTCTGCAGACTTATTTCTGCTGCCTGCTGGCTGCCTGTAGTTTGGCAGTTCAAATCTCACCAGGCTCAAGGCTGACTCATCCTTCCATCCTTCCGAGGTCAGTATAAGGAGGACCCAGATTGTTGGGGGCAATATGCTGACTCTGTAAACCGCTTATGAGAGGGCTGCAAAGCACTGTGAAGCGGTATATAAGTCTAAGTGCTATTGCTATCTATGATAGAGGTCCTTAACCTTTTGGGCACTGGGAACCGGTTCCATGGAGATTTTTCCATGGACCAGGGGCGGCATGGTTTCCCATGCATCCCACAGATGGGGCTTCACTTATTTGTATAGGCCAGTTTCTGGCATGCCACGGACCAGTACCAGTCCATGGATCGGGGGATGAGGATCCCTGATCTATGAAACTAAGTTTGGAGATATTGCTTTTCAAATGATATAATCTATTTAGAGGTTTGGAGAAATTGCTGTTCAAACAATACAATCTATTTAGAGGTTAATCCAATTAAGTTGGATTATTATCACATAAGAGAGTAGCAGGATTTCTGCCTTCTTAAACAGAATTAAATAACATGAGCGGAATCAGACAGCGCTGATTATATTTACAACTCTGATGCAGCTCCTGAAAAAAATAAAAGCAGCCTTCACCACCATCTCCCCTTCTTGACAACTGGCTCTACAACAAAGCATCATCGGGAATAACACATTGGTAATGTGTGACTAATGCTGCAGGCATCAAAGCCTTCTCTAGGATTGCTGGGCTCATTTACCAATCTGCCTATTCCGTTTCTAGTCATTACTTAAGCTTTGAGGCCTCGGAGGCAAATAGAAAGCAAAAAAGGAGCTTCATTCAAACTGCATTCCTTATGGAATGTTTAACATCCCAGCCTGAGCTTTCTAGACACCTTCATGTCCAAGGACTAACCAGACCAGACCTTGCTTAGTTTCAAAGCCCAAATGAGATCAGAGAGGTATTGCTGGTTGCCAAGTTAGTTAGCTCTAAACTGCAGATTGGAGGAGGGGAGCAATGAAAGATTACAGGAAGCAATTAGCTAAAGCTGCCAATTTACCATTATCAGGTTCCCTTTGCCATTGACCAGCTACACAGAAAATCATGCTTCCAGTAGCAGGAGAAAGATAAATCCTCTCTTGATAAATGGGTATCCAATGAACACGCAGGTGGGACTCCCTGGTGGGACTCAAAAGAAAAAACAGCAGAGATGGATCAGCACAAACCTGTTCAAGGGACAGGTATTGATTTCAGCTGTTTGGGACACAGGATTCTGCAGGGACAGGAGTTTGCTGGGAAACATCACTTTGAAAAATGCCACATTTGGGTGGTTAGTGGGGTTCAATTAGCTTGTAACATGGACTCAAAAAAGCCAGTCAATGTTTGCTTAGATTTAACCCAGAAAGCCCTGGAGGGTACAGGGTTAAACTAACCTCCCCCATCTCAACATTGAACATGATGAGAGTTAAACCAAGGTGACCATTCATTCATATTCTCACTGCTAGCACAGGGATGATGATAACAGAGAATCCTTGCAAAAACAGGGTTTTTCTAGGCATGTTTGTATTACTTTCCTGCTTACAAAATGGATAACACAAGGTAAAGAGAGATAAAATTTCTCCCAGCCTGCTATGTTTTTCAAAGGATATTTTTCTCCAAATAATAATAAAAAAGAAGACAGCTAGGTGCATTGTTTTTGCAAACTCAGTTCTTTTATGGAAAGGTAAAACTGACGGGTAAGGACTTCTTTCTCCAGAGAAACGAATCAAATGAATCTAACTGCAATGTAGAAACTTCCTGTGTTGGGAGTCCCTATCTGTTTCCTTTCCCAAAAGCCTCTGAATAGTAGCAGTGGCAACACTGAAGCCTCAAGATGGCTACGGTCAGGTCAGCTTCAGGGTTGCTATGGAAGTATTACTTGGACCCCTGACAAGCAGCTCTTGCTCCAGACCAGTGGTGAAATCCAATTTTTTTTACTACCGGTTCCGTGGGCATGGCTTGGTGGGCGTGGTGTGGTGTGGTGGTGTGGCATGGCAGGGGAAGGATACTGCAAAATCTCCATTCCCACCCCACTCCAGGGGAAGGATACTGCAAAATCCTCATTCCCTCCCCATTCCTGAGGGAAGGATATTGCAAAATCTCCATTCCCACCCCACTCTGGGGCCAGCAAGAGATGGTATTTGCCGGTTCGCCAAACTACTCAAAATTTCCGCTACAGGTTCTCCAGAACCTGTCAGAGCCTGCTCTATTTCACCCCTGCTCCAGGCCTTATGGAAAGCCATTCCGTTCACTGGGATGGAGGCAATATACCCAAACCTTTCCACAATATATGTTTTATTATAGGTGATTTCTTACCAACATTTTCTCATTCATTTCAAAGTTTCAATTTGCCGTCTGTTGTACTAGAATATGGAAACAAATCACTTCCTCCACCTCACAAACAACCAGAGGTAGGTATAGGTCCGGGCGTCTGGCAATTTCCTTAGTGAGCAAGTTAACAAGGCAGTGCCAGGGGAAGAGAGTGGGGGAGAGAAAGGGGATATTACATGGAAGGAAAGGGAAAATTACAGGCCTTTTTGCCACGTGAGCTGCAGGAATGGAGCTCTTTGGACTGTTGGGATTTAACTGGAGGATGAACAAAGGCATCGGGGGGGCCACAGAAGCCTGCAAAGATGTGTCTTCTCAGCTACGCATCTTTCTCTAAACAGCCTTTAGTGAGTTAAGTTCAGGCAGGCCTCTTCCTTGGAGAGGTTTACTGGCAGTCAAGTCAGGGAAGAGCGGGGCAACTCAACTTTTCCATCCTAGAAAGAGGCTCATATTCCCATCCCCTGAAAAAGCCCAGAAGGACATAGCAGACAGTACCAAAACCATAGATCTTGGCCTACCCAGATTGGATGAGGCTTGAGAGTATGTCTGATGGTCACAAATTACAGTATTATGACGCTCTTGAACTTTCCAGAGGTGAATTCGTGGCTCATTAAAGAATGATCTGATTCTTGAAGCTGCGGCTGAGTTCCTTGTGAGGAAGCACGATGGAGTTCAGGATGACCACTTCGGCAGGAATGGTCACATTGCATCCTGTTGGGGGAGGGCAGGGGGGGGGGGCGGTCAAAAAGGATCAGCTCAGAAAGCAGGCTGGGGAGGAGTTGTAATCCCACAGGGGACTCCTGCTTAAAAAGGCAGGAAGGCCCCAACTGTTTATTGGGGAAGGGAGAAACAGGATGCAAAACTCACCCAGAATAGTGATGGATGGAGTCAGACGGCCATCTCGAAAGAGCGTCTCGCTGTCGATCTTTGCATAGGGATCATTTGGATTGGGATCACTGGGGGTACCCTCCACACGAGCCCAGCGTCCAATCGTGCTGTCCCAGCCGACAATGCTATTGAGCACACAGGTGTGGTCCTGCGGAAAAGAGAGTGGGGCATTCTATGGGGAGTCAGCCGCATGTTGCCCAGAGCTGCCGAAATTCAGGTCTCCCACAAATCAGGAGCACCAAAGCCCCTGCCTGCAATTTCTTCCCTTTTTTTGAAAAAACCGCAAATAGATGAAGCTTCCCAGGAAAGGCTACATCGCACGAAATTTCAGGGAACTTGTAAGAAGAAAGAACATTAAAAACTGGCACCTTCCCAACATTTAGGGCATTTTAAAAATTAAATTATTTTTAATTTAAAAATTAATGCCTTATGTTACTGAACCACAGACTTCTTCCTAGGTCCAAAACAGATTATCCTTGGATGCTGAAAAAGTAGTGCAGGGAAACAACGCTCCAACAATTCAGTCCATGCAATTAAAAGGAAAACGGGCAAAAAGGACAGAAGCCACAGGGGAAGAAAATTGATGTTCATTGATACATCTGCAGTCATCAGGCACTGGGAAGCAATTCAATCTAATTTATAAACACACATATCTCCTGTGCAAGAGAGATTCTTGCCTCAGAAAGTGCACTAGCAGACATTTTAAGGGCTTCAGCTCATTTCCTAAGACTCTGCATCTGATCCGGAGAATTGTAATCCACAGAACCTGGGCCACAAGCACACAGCCCCACAGGAGATATAATAATCTGTTAGCCTTGAAGAGGACCAACAAAACTCTCTTTGTTCATTCAGTATAGTATCTTATAAACATTTACAGCGCAGTAGCACCACCTGCTGGGCACTAGAAAAATATGAAAAGCTAATACTCTATAGATGCAGAATGGGGCAACTTGCCACAGCCAAAGTCTCTGCGGCCACCTCACCATGGACAAGTCGCTGTGGGATAACTCGCCGCAGGATCATTTATATCAGTGTATTTCTTGTCCTGTGGTGAGCTGTCTTGGCTGGGGTGAGTTGGCTGCAGCAAATTGTCATAGACCCCTGATATAGATGATTTGTTAGGAAAAGCTGTTAGAGATAGCACTAATCCCAATGTAACATCCCCATGTGATACAAGGCAAGACTATCGTTGTGTTACTGCATTGATGTCCCATCTTTTCTCTGAGTTTTCAGGGCAATATAGGTTGTGATTCACTCTTCATTTGTTCTTCAATAAGATTTTTCTCTTCATTATGTGCTGTTCTAGAACAACAACTTGTAGGTTGGACCAAGAAATAGGAACTGACCAAAAGTCACCCAGCAGTTTTTATGGCTGAATGAGATTTGAACTAGGGTCTCCGTTCCAGGCCATATTTTCAATGCTGTATTATATTGGTTCTATGAAGATACTTGTCCAACTATGATGGATTCCACCAATTCCAGGCAACATTGCTTATGGTTAGGAATGACAATGGTTGCATCCAATACAAATAGTCCTTGCTTAGTGACATTAATTAGGACCAGGAACTGCATTACTAAGTGAGATAGTCATGAGATGCATTGTCACGTGACTATGCCAGCCTATGAAAGCAGTTCTGGCAGTTCCAAGAGCCATTATTAGGCAAATCCTGTGCAGTTGCAGCATCCCATGGTCATGTGATCACCATTTGTGACTTCCCGCCAGCTTCCCCATTGACTTTGTTTGTCAGACGCCAGTATTGAAGGACCCAAATGACAAACAAGTGACTGTGGGATGCTGTGACACTGTAACTGCGAGCCAGTTAACACTACCCGGATTGCAATCACATTTAACTGTGGAAATGCTGTTATAATAGCAACTATGAGGACGGTCATAAGTACCCCTTACCTGATGCCATCCGTTGCTAAACAAGTGAATGTTAAAGGACAGTATCCGGCATGTAGCAGTCTGAGTAAAGCTTTGACCAAGAATCTGATGCTATGCCTCTTTATTTATTTATTAAATTTTTATGCCTCCCATCTCCCCTATAAGGTGACTCTGGGCAGCTTATAAGTAACAAACAAGAAGGAAAATAATTAAAACATTAAAACCGCATTGATTAAGATTACAAAAACTACACTAAAACCAGAACTGAGAGATGGATGGGAGAAAAATGCTCAGGAGGCGTTTTGGTTGAGCCATCCTCAACGCCTCCAGGTGGGAGCATCTAGGCAGCACCTCCAAGCAGAATGCTCCAGCACTCGCAACATCCTTTCATTCAAACCTCTAACATCTAAGTGGGAGATGATGGATTAACTTTCCCCCATTTCTTAAAACAGGATGCCTGGAGAGGAAATGAAAGTGAGGAAATGAAATTGCACCGTTTCAGAGAAGACAGGAGCTTGGTTTAATAATAGATATGCCTTTCTTTTTTATTGTGTTTCATAAGTGACTCGATATCTAAAGAACCACAGAAGAACGCTCACTAATAAAACACACTGATTTTTTTTAAAAGTATCAATGGGACAAGAAGAATTAGACTGAGGGGTTGCCTCAGTCTAAATAAATAAATGAGGGATGAGGATTTAATTTTCCACAGATGAAACACCATTATTTAAGTTGCAGGAAGTTTATGGGATACCCAGCAACAAAGATATAAAATGAATGCATATTTATACTCCTAAAAATGCAAGTCGTGCAAATAACTAGGTTATGGCCTACAGCAGGGGTCTCCAACCTTGGCAACTTTAAGACTTGTGGACTTCAACTCCCAGAATTCCTCAGCCCTTTGCTGAGGAACTCTGGGAGTTGAAGTCCACAAGTCTTAAAGTTGCCAAGGTTGGAGACTCCTGGCCTACAGGATTTTCAGAAAACACCTTACCTGGAGAGACGCTCCATGCAGAATGATGGATTCACGCACTCGCACTCCTGCACCAATGGTCACTCCTTTCCCGATGGAGACATTGGGACCCAGCTACAGGGAAAAGCCAAGGGAGAGACACCTGTGTCACTGAGCTGGCAGGCGAGAGTCCCTCCTTAGCCCCCAGCTTTCTTTTGTCCTCAGGGGCAAAGACAAGGGCCAGATGCAACAGGCTCTAAAACCCAGCCCTACCCCCACACATGCCACAGCGAGGGTGGTGAGGGGAACTCTTTTTAAGAAATCTCTATAAGCATCAACTGAAGCCCAGCCCACCTACCACCCACCCCATTTTACACCCTCTACCAGTGCTTGGGTCGAAGGAGCCCTGATGGCGCACTAGTTAAAATGCAGTATTGTGGGAAAACTCTGCCCACAGCCTGTAGTTCAATTCTGACTGGCTGAAGGTTGACTCAGCCTTCCTTTCAGGTTCCGGAATGGCGCTTTGAAATAAGACTCCAGTCAACTGGGTTCCTAGTTGTAGAGATCTTTATCAGGCCCTCCCGTACGTTCCAAAAATCACCAACTTTCCAAGTGAAATATTGTCAGCGCTTTCGCGCAGTGCTCCCTACCACCTTTTAAAGGCTCCACCCGTGACTCCACCCCTTGGCCCTGCCCCCATCTCGCATTTCTTCTACAGTTAACCCACATCTGACCCAGCAAGCCAACCTACACCAAACCTAGCCTGCTTTAACTCTGCTTTTCCTCTTGGCTCATCAGACCAGCCGAGGCTTGGCTTGGCTTGGCTTGGCTCTGCTCAGGTAAGGCCCCAAACTTCAGCTGCTTCCGGGGCCTGCCTCTCAGCTGTGCAGTGACGGTGCAGGCTTTGGTGGTGGTGGAAGCAGGCTTCTGATGCCTAGGCTGGTCGACCAAACATACTTCTGAGTGTCGCTAAGTCAGCTCCCCAAGCCACGGGGAGCGGCACAGTGGGGCTGACACTTCCATCCTTCTGAGGTCAGTAAAATGAGGACCCAGATTGTTGGGATGTAATATGCAAATAATGCTTGAATGGTAAACCACCCAGAGTGTGCCGTACAGTGCTATGAAACGGTTTACACAGTAGGTGTACCTACTGTGCTACCACTATTGCTATTTTTAAAATCCTACCTATTATTGGGAGGAAAAAGGGGAGGGTAAAGGAAAGATCAGCCATTATACTCCTTGTCAGCCCTTTGAGGTAATCCAGGCAAACAATGAATGCTAATAGTACTGTTATCATGGATCTTGCCAGTCTGAAAGCACTTCTCCCCTCCCCTTCCTTTACTTTCCAGAGAACTAGGGAAGGTCCCTTCTGAGGTGCCTTCCCTTCCCTGAGTCTGGTGGCGCAGTGGACTAAGTGCTGTTAAAATAGCACTTAATTGCCAGCTGCCTGCAATTACTGCAAGTTCAAATCTCACCAGGCTCAAGGTTGACTCAGCCTTCCATCCTTTCGAGGTAGGTAAAATGAGGACCCGGTTTGTGGGGGCAATAAGCTGACTTTGTATAAAAAAAGAACACTGCTTAGGGGGGGCCGAAAGCCCTACTAAGCAGGTATATACAAAAGTATGAAGGCTATTGCTTAATGCATGAGATGAGATAGCTTTGGTCTGATTTTGCCTACATTCCTTTTCCACCTGTCTGCCAAGGTTATTCTCGCAGCCATTACACACATACACACACAAAATCCCCTCACAGTATCCTTCCCTTCATACTGCAATTAAGTTAAAGGTGAAAAAAACTAGTTTGTTTATACACAAGCAAGCATACGCAGGTGTAAATAACCTATTTGTGCTTGCAGGAGAAAGCAGGCCTACTCTATAGCCCTGGCTCTGGCCCTACTCATTCCCACCAAGACACTGTGGTGCTGGGCCCTCATTCTTTTGTGGGAAGCAGCAGGCATCACCCAGCCCACAGACTTACCACAGCACTGGCATCCACCGAGGCCGTTGGATGAATATAGACATTCCCTGCATGGAAAAGAAGCAGCAATTACTTCCGTTCTCCTATCTCCTCTATGAGTCATTTCCACTATTCTGTAGGCTTTGTTAGAGGAGGCCTCCAGCTCTAGCACTGAGTTATTTTTTGATCCCCCCCAATGCCTTTCCCCACACAGCTGCTAAAATTACTACTTCAAACTTGCCAAACGCTGGAGATTATGGAACCAAATATACGGGGAAAGCAAGACAATCCTCCAACTTAGGGGAAAAACACCTTCAAAAACATTTCAACATTACAGAAGTTGATGGAGTTGGCTGAAATGGAAAAACTGACCACTTTGATTAAAGAAAAGAACATAAATACTTTTGTTTCCCCCTGGAGACCACTTCTCAACTTCGTGCTTGATGTGGAGATGAATGAAACTCTGACTTCAGGCTTTACCAATTAGACTGGTAGATTTTTATAGAAATGGCTTGTTTATATTATTATGAAAAAGCAAAAAGTTGTGATTTGATGTTAATGCCTTATTTTACTGTAACAGAGAGAGTCGGAAGTCAATGCTTCTTTTTCTTTTTTCCCCCCACATCTTTCCACACTTCTCCTTCCCCTTTCCCTCCCCACTGCTTTCCTATTTACTTTGTATTTTGTATTTTACAATACTTTATAACTCAATAAAAATGTTAATAGGGAAAAAAAAACATTTCATCCAAAATAATCCAGACAACAACAATGTAGTATTAATAAATGAAACCATGTCTGATCCCCCAGGAGCTGAAGAAAACATGCCAGGCATTTTGGAGTCCTGGGCAGATGTGAGAGCCTAAGATTATGGTCTCTCCAGCAAGATATCTAAACCAGGGGTCCCCAAACCCTGGTCTGTGGACCGGCACTAGACCATGGCATGCCAGTAACCAGTCCACACACACAAGTGAATCCCCATCCATGGGATGCAGACAGAATACAAAACCACACCTCCTCTGGTCAGTGGAAAAACCTTTCTCTATGAAACCGGTCCTTGATGCTCAAAAGGTTGGGGGCCACTGATCTACAGGACTGATGGAGATGGATGGGATGACAGCATTTCCCCCATGACAACACAAAGAATGTGCCTTATTCCTGCCAATGAAATGTACTGCTGCTTTTGCCTTACAATGTAACGTAGAAGGAGAAGATACCTCGGATGCTGGGCCCACCGGGTTGGTTCTGGGCAAGTCTCTCCAGATGACACTGGCTGTAGCAGCTCAGATAGAGACGATTGGCATAGATGGCAGAGCTGGCAAAGAGAACATGGGAGTTATTCTGTTTGGCTCCCAACCCTCAAGCACCACACTTAACCCTTATCCCCAGCCTCTTGGAGACAAAACAAGAAATCAAATGGCTCTCAACAGGAATACATACACAAACACACATACAATTAATAGAAGATGACACTCTACCGGGCACAGTATCCATATTTACACACACAAAAAATCAGATTTTCGTTCTTTTTTGCTGTGGTCCTGCCATTTGTAGGACAAGCCACAGATCTAAATCTGGTGGATGCTAACCTACAAAACCAAGGCTCCAGTTAAAGTGATGTGCACATCTTAATTCATTTGGATGCTCTTCTTTTTCTAAAGGAGACTGAGAGAAAGAAGAAGCAGGACAGAGATTTACAAAGGCTCTACAGCCTATGAAAGAAAAGGCAAGGAGAGGAAATGAGCAGCAACGCTCACAGTCCCTCATCTGCTCTGACTTGCCTATTGGCTACTTCAAAACAAGGTGAACAGTTTCTCTTGCCACTGCAACACATATTTTTCATGGCACCTTCTGGTCTCTCCCTCATTTGCATTATCTGCATAATTGCTCAAGGAAGAAATAGCCAAGTTTTTTAAAACACAAAGTTGTACAAAGACAGCCGAGTCAACCCTTGGCATGCTCACAGACACACTCAACTCCAATTTTCAACCACCTCATGTGCCACCGAGCACAGGGAATCCTTGATTGACAACTATAATTAGGACCAGAATTTCTATTGCTGGGCAAGTAAGTCACACCCAATTTTACACCTTTTTTGTTGCTGTCATAGTTGTTAAGCAAATCACTCACTGCAAATGTTAATTGAATCATGCAGTTGTTAGGCAAATCCAGCTTCCCTCATTGGCTTTGCTTGCCGGAAGCCAGTTGGGAAGGTCACACATGGCAAATACGTGACTGCAGAACACAGCAACCATGGTAAATACATGCCCGTTGCCAAGCACCTGAATTCTGATCAGGTAAGTGTAGGGATACTGTGTTGGTTATAAGTGCAGGGGGCTGGGTTAAGTCACTTTTTTCAGGACCATGGTAACTTCAAATGGTTGCTAAATGAATGGTTATAAGTTGAGGACGACCTGTATGAATCTGCAACCTATTTGGGTGTCAGATAAAGCCCCTTCCTTACCCAGCAGATTTGATCTGGCTCCAGAACCCTTCTGTTTTGTAGGCAAAGAGACGTCCCTGCCCAGCAAGGGCCGTAAAGATGTCTTGCTCCAGTCGGATGGCTTCAGCCCGCTGCCAACCATTTGTGCTCTCCTCTCTGTGGGAAGGAGACAAAGACAAGCTGAGGGGAAGCAGCGTATTTGCTTCAGAGAGAGGGGGGGAGAGGGAGGGAGGGAGAGAGGGAGAGGGAGAAGGGAGGAGAGGGGGAGAGAGAAGGAGAAAGGGGGAGAGAGGGGGGAGGGGGGAGAGAGAGAAGGGAGGAGAGAGGGTGGAGAGGGAGGGAGAGAGAGAGGGAGAGGGAAAGGGGGGAGAGAGAGGGGGAGAGGGGGGGGAGAGAAGGGGAAAGGGGGGGGGGGGGGAGAGAGAGGGGGTGGGAGAGAGGGGGAGAGGGGGAGAGAGAGAAGGGAGGAGAGGGGGTGGGAGAGAGAGAGGGGGAGAGGGAGAGAGAGAAGGGAGGGGGGGGGGGGGAGGGGGAGAGAGAGAGGGAAGGAGAGAGAGGGAGAGGGAGAGATTGAGAGTGAGATCCAACAAGGAAATGAAGCTGTCAAGCTGTAGGAAGAATGAATATGGGATCAGCACAGCTTCCTCCAGCAATTGGGAAACTGACAAAAACTAGATCTCTATCTAATGTCTAAATCCCATGGAGCAAAAAAAAAAAAAAAACCATCAACGGCTCTTGAAAAAGGCACATGCAGCAGGATGAAAGGGAGAGATGGAGACTTACCCATGGTACGGATCCCTGCATGAGGGCAAAGGTTGGCAGGAGGAGGAGATGAACAGAAAGAAAAAGAAAGATGGTAGATGAGTGACCTGCCACTATCCAGAGCAGGAAGGACCCGAAGACAACGCTGGCAAAGACACTCACAAGAGCAACTCCTGCTGATTACGCTGGAAGACTTCCCCAATGTGATGGAAGATGGCTGGGGTAAATAGGTAGATGCCACAGTTGATGAGCTCGCTCACAAAAGTGCTGGGTTTCTCCACGTAATGCAAGACCTGGAAAAGAAAAGGGGGACGTAGGTGGAAGTGACAGTGCTGTACACGGGTGCTGAAAATAAGATTCCTGAGGGGAAACCTGGGATCTAGCAGGCAGAAGGCAGGACTCACAGAAAGGCCTTCTCTTTTCGGCTCACTAGTGGGTCCTGCCTCCTTCACAGACGCCCCCCCCCCCCCACCTCCCTTCTGCCTGGCTTCATACCTTCATACCTCGTGTGTGTCAGCATTTGCCACAATACAGCCATAGTTCAGAGACTGCTTCCTATTGGCCTGCAGAAAACAAGATTGGCACGGATGCATTGAGTGGACAGAAACACTTGAAGCTTCAAAAGAGGATCTTAAGAAGATACCCCGGGACTCCCCAGCTAACTGACCCTCTGCTTCCCAACCATTCCTTCATGACTGACCCAGTTTGGGAAGGCAGGACTGTCTCCTACCGTGGTGCCCAGCATGAGGAAGCTGTCGGAACTGCCCCGCTGACGATGGAAGGCAAGCATCTCTTCGAGAGGGAATTCAGAGCAGACGTCAGCATTGAGCACAAAGAAGGCTGCAGGGTTACCTGAAAGGATTTGGTCACGGAAGTGGTAGATACCCCCACCTGTGCCAAGTGCTGCATATTCCTGGAGATACCTACAGAAATTAGAAATTCGCCTTATTAGATGGCCTTTTGGAGACTCTGACTTCCAAATAGTGGGAGCTTATAGACCTGTGTTGGCGAACCTATGGAAATGTGCCAGAAGCGGCACACAGAACCCTCCTGCGAGGAATGTGCGGCCTCGCTGGCTCCTCTTCCGTGTTCCTGTGCACACATGTGCACCAGTCAGTTGGCTGTCGCGTGTGTGGGAGTGGCGAAACCCAGAAGAGCAGTTTTTGGTCGCGCATGTGCAATCCAGCACCCAAACTTCTGGGTTTACATTGTGCGCATGCGCAATGGCCAGCTGTTCATAGGGCATGTGTCCGTGCCAGAAACTGGAAGTTCGGGTGCTGGCTCACGCATGCGTGACAGAGCACCGCTTTTCTGGGTATTGGTGCTCCCGCGCACGCGAAGGCCAGCGGGGCCACACGGTCCAGGCAGCATGGTTTCATGTGCCATTTCCAGCACGCAGGCCAGCACGCGGTAACGTAAAAGGTTAGCCATCACCGTGGATGGATAATGGAAGCTTATCAACTGACTGCTTTTTATTTCAGGGTAACCTTTCAAGTACTACATCTATTTCATCCAACATGAGGCACAGTCCGCAGTCCTTAGGAAAAATTACACATGGATGCAGCCAAAGGAATGGAAAATTTGGAATCAACAGGTAAGTAAAACAGAATTCAGCTCCTGAGAGTGACAGGTCTGGCCTAGCATATCTGGAAGGCCCTAAGAGAAGAAAGACTGAATTACAGCTCAGAGGTTTGTAAAGATGTTAACAATGTTCCAATGTACTGGCCAATGCAACAGGGCTTTTTTAAAAAAAGGCCAGACTATGCAGAACCAGTGCCTGAGTGACAGATAGCATTGGGGCTGCTTTTATGGTTTTCCTTACAATAACCACTGGCCACCCACCTGATAGGGATTTTGAACTCTTGCTGGGCAGACACCAGGAAGTGGTTGAGTGCCTCATTGGGTTGATAGAAGCCAATCAGAAGAATCTCCTTCATGTTGGGCACCTGTTAGAAATGCCAGGAAAAGCATCAGGCATAGCTGACTTCATTTTCTTGCTTGCTTCATTACCCGACTATGATTAAGTTAAGGCAACAGGTGCCGCCCTGCCCTTCCAAAATTTAATCTGAATAACCCCCTTACCTTGGTGCATGCCTCGATGTGATGCTGTATCATGGGTACCCCTGCCACTGGGAACAAGGGTTTGGGCACTTCGAAGGACAAGGGCCGGAAGCGGGTCCCTGAAAAAGCAAAACAATTCCAGAATCAGGAGCCAACCGTCCCCCAGAATTTGCCCCTCCTTTTGGTCTGGCAATCTTCTGCCAGAAGCAGGGAACAGACAGTAAAGCACAAAGTGGATTACAAAGTGTTATAAGGGGGGGGAAAGGTGTCATTGCTAAACAAACAAATAAAAAAATATGCATCTTTTAGGCAACCCTCAAAAGTAGTATGGACAGGGTTGTGGAAATCAGTTCTGCACTCCCCAGATCGCTCAGCCTTTTAGGGAGCCCATTTAACCAAGGGGAGCCTATCCAACCACAACTGTGAAGAAAGGTTGAAGAAGATGGGGACGCTTAGCCTGGTACAGAGAAGGTTTGGGAGAGACATTACAGTCATCTGAAATGACCCTTCAGAAAGAGGGTCCTTCCAAAGAAGAGACCAGGCTGTTCTGGACAGGAGGAAAAACAGGTTGTGGAGGGGGGGGGCGCAGAAGCCAGCTAAGGATTAAATATACTCTTATATGTAAAAGCTGTTGGCTAAAACAGGGGTCTCCAACCTTGGCAACTTTAAGCCTGGTGGACTTCAACTCCCAGAATCCCCCAGCCAGCTTTGCTTTGCTGAGGAACTCTGGGAGTTGAAGTCCTCCAGGCGTAAAGTTGCCAAGGTTGGAGACTCCTGGGCTAAAAGAACACGTAGGCTCGCTTTTTGGGGGGGGGGGGGGGGGGCGGAGGAGTTTTCAGCAAATCGTGGACTGGCTTTTCTTTCGGCAAAGGGGCTGCCCTGCCGCCTCCAGCCCGAATGGACATCAGCTTCCCGGGAGGTGAGGAGGGATATCAGCTCACCTTTCTGGGGGCCCCCGATTAGGATCACGGCTTTCAGCATGGTCCACTTAGGGGATCTGGGGCGGTGGGGAAGACGGTGTCAACGAGATCTCCACTCCGCTGGAAAACACGGCCTTCTGCTTCCGAACACGTGAGAATGCCACGTCACCGTTTCCACCTCTTCGTGGATCTCAGAGGATTTGCAGCCCTTAAAGCCGCAGGAGAAGAGCTGCGGGGCGGGAGAATCGGGGTTCTCCCGCAGAAATGCCCGGAAAGCTCAAAGCATCCGCATCTTCCCCCCCCCCCTCGTTGCTGCATCCCGCCTTTGCATTCAAGTCCCCCCGCAAAGTTGCGGGGCTGCGGCGCGATTCAGCCCGAAGCCCCAGCCACGACTTCAGATGGCCCAAAATGCAGTGCGGGCACCGGCTTCTTTCCCACTTTTAGGGTTTTAATAATTTCTAATAATTATTAATAATTTCATAATTTTTAATAGTTTTAGGGTTTTAATAATTTCTAATAATTATTAATAATTTCATGATTTTTAATAGTTTTAGGGTTTTAATAATTTCTAATAATTATTAATAATTTCATGATTTTTAATAGTTTTAGGGTTTAATAATTTCCTTTGGCCTCGACTCCTGGAGACTCAAGGAACAATAACACGGGACAAATTAGGTTTTGCCTCTTTCTGACTTCTAATCTAGATTTGGGGCTTGTCCCTGATTCCAACATCCCAAACCTGTATCAGGAATTGTTAATATTCCTTAAATTTTTATTTATTTATTTATTTTAATTTTTACTTATTTTTTACTATTTAAAATGTTTTGGGCTCAGCCAAGATAGAGTAGATGATGCACCTGCTGTAGATTCCTGTTCAAGGGGATTTATAGATTGACATGGATTAAAGATGACATTGTCCGGTTCGGGCAGATTTATTTATTTCCTTTATATCACGCCTTTATTATTTCTATAAATAACTCAAAGCCACAAACTTATCTAATGCTCCTTCCTCCTCCTATTTTCCCCACAACAGCAACAACCCTATGAGGTGAGTTGGGCTGAAAGAGAATAATGGGCCCAAACCAGATTCCTAATGATACTGATTTCTATTGCTGAACTGGGGAGCACAATGAAGAATTACTTTCCTTGGATTGATTTTTCAGCTTTCCAAAGTCATTAGAAAGACAGAATACTTTCCAAGCACGTGCAAATGGCTTTTCCTTCCCATTTTTAGCACTATAGAGAGTTTACTGCCATATGTGAGATTGGGGGAAAGAGGCCTGCAGCAGTTCCAGATGGGAGTCTGCTTTTTAAAGGATATTTCTTGCCAAATTCTTTTACCACCCTCCCCGTAATCTGTCCATCAGCATTTTTCACTTTATTGTTTTTGGGGCTACCTCACTTTATCCCCAATTTTCCCCAGTCTTTAACGGATTGGAATGATGGTGAAATATTTGGATTTCAGTGGGCTTCCTACTACAATATTTCATGAACTGTTTGTAAGCTTTCGCATCCAGAGAAAAATAGCTTTGAGTGGATATTATCTAGAATGTCCTGAAAGACAAATCACGTGATGTCAAGAATCATGAAGAAAAAACTTGCAAGAAGACGAACAAATGTGCCATTTTGCCTAACCTGAAATGTCAGAAATAAATTCAAGGTGTTGAGGCTAGAGCCATCTTTAAGACCCATATTTAGCCTTTTCCCCAACTGATTTCTCTTTAAGACTTGGCAGGGTTTATCTGTAATAGATCATCCATTGGATGGTAACACAATTTAAAGTGTGTCATGAACATTAAATCCCATTCTGCTACGAGTCCTATAAAGCTTTGTGACTATGAGAGAGTTGCTAAGTGTTTTCAGATGAGGCTTTTATTATGCTATTATCACTCTGCAAAATCAGAATTTTTTGAGGTGGGTGGGGGAGGGTTCTCCACTGTGAACTGTATGTTCTTCATGGTTTTCTGCTTTTTAAGTAGGGAAAGCAGGAGTAGCTTTGTGGTGTCTTTGAATTAACAGCATTAAGAAACTATCCGTCAGGAAATCTGCTTCCAGATGCAATTCAAGATCCTGTTTATCACCTTTAGCAATAGCAATAGATTTATATACTGCTTCATAGTGCTTTTACAGCCCTCTCTAAGCAGTTTACAGAGTCAGCATATTGCCCCCAACAATATGACCCAGGACCCAGATGCCAACAAACTGGGTCCTCATTTTACCCACCTCAGAAGGATGGAAGGCTTTAAAACTACATGGCTTGGGGTCAGGTTATTTGCATCTATATAGGCAGTGCATATCACGGATCCCATAGAATAGAGATTGCCATTTGATGGGACCATACAAAACAGCCTTCTTGGTGGTGACCTCTTCATTATGGAACATCATTCCCCACCCAAGATATGGTTGGCCCCCACCCTGCTGCTTTTCCAAAAAGCCCTAAAAACATGATTTTATCAATGGGGCTGGAAACCACTGATGGAGATGATCAAATAGCTGATTTGATTGATATCAATTTGTTTAATAAATAAATATGTACTGTTTGAAGACAAGCTGTGTCAAGGAGCACTCATAACATGATTTGGAAGGAATGGAGATCATCTACTCAGCTTCTTCTCATTTGGGTCCTATCATGTGGACAAGGTGACGAGGAAAATTTGGAGACTGAAACAATCCCCAATATGGTCAGGAGGAGTTATTTATATCTCCAGAGCAGCGGACTGAAAAAAGGATCTTGTAATGTTTCTGAGAACCGGCAGGAGGCAACATTGCCAAGAAAAAGGGTAGGCTCTTGACCTCCAGAAGGTGCCTTTTTCATTGAGAAGTCCCAAATGCTTTTGGTCTTCAGGAACCTACTGTAATCCACAGCCTGTGCCCTAGATATGCTGGGGCTGCAACTCCCATCATCCCCAGCAAATATATACAAAGTGCACAGGTTGGGAAAGTCACAGAATATGGACTCGGAAAAACTGTAAAATGTTCTGATGAATGTGCTTAGGTTGCTTATCCACAATGCAAGTTGAAGTATCGGCTAGTAATCATGGGAAACCATAGTGCATTTATGCAAAGTGTATTAATCCTAATTGTCTGGTTTCTACAGTACACGAAGTCGCAAAACCCCGGTTTTCAGACCACACTGGGTTGACACATTACATAAAGCCAAGTCAAACCATTTCATACATCAGTGCAACATGAAATACCAATCCCACCTATTAGCAGCAGAGCTGTTCCATCCACAAGGCCGAGGAAGCATACCAGTTCTTATCCATGGCAAAGGTTATGTCGGGAAAAGAGGGAAAACACTATATCCAGGGCCGGATTTTCCTATAGGCTAACTAGGCTTCAGCCTAGGGCCTCAAGATCAAGAGGGGCCTACATTCAAATTGTTAGCAAAATTAAAATTACACTTTCACTATAGGTGAAAGGGCCTCATAAGTGGAATAGCCTAGGGCCTCTTTTCATCTAAATCCGGCCCTGACTACATCAGCACTGGAACAGCTAAGGATGACTTTTAAGTTGCATGAGGTTTGGAGTGGGGCTTTGAGGAAAAAAGTTATGAGGAAACATTTAACAATAAGTACTCGGTAGGCGGCCCAAAATGCTAAATCCAGTAATACCTGGCTGACTGTGCGATAAATCATCATCATAAAAACTCACAAAACAGTATAGAGTCATTTGGTTTTATTTAGTTTGTCAAGCAAGAAAATGGGCCCAGAAGAATCTGGAGGCTTCTGGGATGGCCTGACTCCCTTGGCAGCACTGGGGAAAGACCTCTGGTGTGTAGTCTCTGCCCTGCCCCTTTCATGCCCCCACCTAGATGGCTTTTCAGTGAACATTGCTTATGTCATATTGATGGCAAAGCTATTGATAAGCTGATAGTCCTGTCTGCCCAAGAGATGGATTGAGCCCTGGAGCAGAGTAGTGGGGGGTGGGGAGGTATTCTTGCCAGCAAGTCGGGGGGAAAAGTTGTACCCTCATTGAAGCTGTCCTGTGTGAGTGAGAGACCCAAAGCAGCAGTGAGAGAAGTAGCTGGGCTCGGGGGTATTGCAGGAGAATGAAATATCCCTATTGCTCCAGTTTGTTTGTTTTTAATTGCATTCCCCTGCTCTGAAAGTTGGGTACAGGAGAGTTTCTTTTGGGGTGGGTCAAGCCGTGGGGAGACGGGAGCTCAATTCACATCAAGGCGTGCAAAGGACTGATCCATGCCCAGGCTGTTCTCCACAAAGATCTCATACTTCCCAGCATCAGCTGGTGTCACTTTCTTGATAGTGAGAGTTGTTGAGTCACTGCCAATATTATAGTACACTCTGCAGAGGAAGGAAAGGGAATCAGAACCCGGGAACCCATTTTAAGACCTATAATAGACAGAAGTTTCTTCCTGACTTCATTAGCTTTCTATTAGGGGCATCAGCAGTTATCTGGACTAGGTTGCCTTCTACATTCATGCCCTATCAATGCAAATCAAAGGGTAACAAGCTCTTTTTAACCTGACAATCACTAGAGAAAGAACTGAAGGAAGAGGAAGAATAATAATTATACTGTTTAAAGTTTCCACTGTACTAAAAACATTTAAGTTACGGCATCATCTATTGTATTCTTTTTCTCTGCGCCTAAAAGTTACCAGCAAGGGCTTGTATGATCAAGGAAGGAAAATCAGAAATTCTTATCTTTGTTCTAACTCGGTTACCTCCGATCTGAGGCTACCCATCCAATACCCGGGGCTGGGCTTCACTCACCGATCATCTTCTTCAATATCCTCCCCATCCTTGGCCCAGCCGACATCAGGGGCTGGCTCCCCACTGATGTGAGCTGTCAAATTGACTGTGCTGCCTTTCTTGGCTTTTAAATTGTCTGGGCCTTTCTGTATCTTGGCAGGTACTGCAAGAGAAAAAAACAGTTAAGATCAGAATTGGGCCCTTCCACCAGGCATCTTCTGCCTGGGGAGGACCTATCCTAGGACACAACCCTCTAGCCTAACCTAGCCTGACTAGGTGGCTCAGTGGCTAAAACACTGAGCTTGTTGATCAGACAGGTTGGCAGTTTGGTGGTTCAAATCGCTAGTACAGATCTCCCGCGTGAGCAGGGGGTTGGACTAGATGACCTCCAAGGTCCCTTCCAACTCTGTTACTGTCTGTTATTGTTAATGCTGTGTGTCCAGATGTGAGTCTTCTTCCAATTGTTGGCATTGCTTTTCCTGTAATGGTTGTTACCGCTGAGTAATTGCAACTTAACATCCGCAGATGTTAGGGATTATGTTGCAAAGAGAGCTGCCATAGCCACTTCTCAGTGCATCAGAAAAGATTTCTGCGCACTTCCAGCTAATTTAAGTATCTCCTCTGTCTCTTCCGAACACAGAACACAGGCTATAATATAGGCACAGAAAAGGTGATTATTCATTTTCTGCTTTCCTTTAAAGTCTTCCTTTAAAAACAATTTAACTTGCATTCTAAAAGTGTAAAATAATCCAAGTATTCAATAAAAACCCCTTTATGAATTCATTCTATCTAAAATCTAAGAGAGTGGAACTGCTGTAAAATACAAAATTCATTGAATGGTGCTTCTATTTCTAGTCTTTTCTGATAAATTGTTAAAGGAAAAAAGGAAGAAAAGAGATATTAGCTGATAATTAACACAATGCAATATTTTTTAAATGTCTCTATGACATTACTGAAATAAACTATTTACTAAGTCTGCACTACTATTAATCTTCTCATCTTCTCATCGTTCCCATCACCCATCTCCTCCCACTTATGACTGTATGACTGTAACCTTGTTGCTGGTATCCTTACGATTTATATTGATATTGTTTCCTGATTGCTTATTTGTAACCTATGATAATCATTAAGTGTTATACCTTATGATTCTTGATGAACAAATCTTTTATTTTATGTACATGGAAAGCATATGCACCAAGACAAATTCCTTGTGTGTCCAGTCACACTTGGCCAATAAAAATTCTATTCTATTCTATTCTATTCTATTCTAGTCTATTCTAGTCTAGTCTAGTCTAGTCTAGTCTAGTCTAGTCTAGTCTAGTCTAGTCTAGTCTAGTCTAGTCTAGTCTAGTCTACTGTCAATTTGCATTAAGACCCATCTGAAAGGAAATCTGAGATTATTGGGATTGTGAAAAGTGACTCTGCTAAGTTTTAGTCATGTAGCACTCAAAGTATGACCACTCAGCAATTTCTTCATTTAATGCAGAGTTGGAGAAGTAGGATATTACAGGATCTATATGCTTTGTAAGCATCATCTTGTATAAATAAATCTACACATAACTGTGATGCATGTCCTATTTTGTTGGTAATGTTCCCTTCTGACTCAAGAATGACAAGTCGTGTGAATCAAGACCTGACTAGGATATCAGTCTCAAAAATCAGCCTCCTCCCTTGACTAGAATAGAATAAAATAGAATAGAATAGAATAGAATAGAATAGAATAGAATAGAATAGAATAGAATAGAATAGAATAGAATAGAATAGAATAGAATAGAATAGAATAGAATAGAATATGAATTCTTTATTGGCCAAGTGTGATTGGACACACAAGGAATTTGTCTTGGTGCATACGCTCTCAGTGTACATAAAAGAAAAGATACTAAAAGAAATTATTCTGAGAATTCAACAGCAAATTCTCCCGCTGCTTTTCCTGCATCTCCACAGGATCACGAATAGCTAGACAAACAGCACCACTTTATTAGAGGGAAGAAAGGGAGGGAAGAAGGAGAGCAGGCAGGCTCTGTCTTGGCAGAGGCAGGGCTAGAGTTGGAAGCAGTTGGTTTTTTGCATTAGACAGACCCGGCCTATGAATAGAAAATGGGCAGGGCTACAACTTGAAGCAGTGGAGCAGACAGAGCAACCTTTCCCGGTGAAGGGTGCCAAAGTGAGACGCTCTCTTAGAGAAGAAACTCACTAGAATGTCTTCATTGCCCAAGGGGATGCATAGCTCTATGTTTAGCAGGGAATGTGGGAAGAGGGTCACATTACCTTCTATGAGGAGCCGAGCTGAGTCAAAGCACTCTCCAAAGGGATTCTTCACAGCGATGGAGTACTTGCCCAGGTCAGGAAGGGCTGCATCACGCACCACCAGTGCCACAATGTCAGGATCCTCAAAGACATAGCGGTACTTGGGCCCGTCCTTGAGTTCCACACCATCTTTGGACCAGCGGATAAAGGGGTCAGGGAAGGCACTGATGCGGCATTCTAACTTGGCTGCACTGCCTTCTATCAGCATCACATCTTTGAGGTTCTGTAGTACCCGTGGAGGGCCTTTGTCTTTCAGTTCCTTGCGAGACCTGCGAGTGGAGAAGAGGAAGTGGAACAGCAGGCATGCAGAACTTTGCTCACAATCTTATAGCTCCGTTTTTCCCAATCCAGTGGTCTCGGAATGAGTTAAGATTGCATCTCTCAGAATGCCTGTGTAGCATAGTCATCTGCTCTGTTGCCCTAGGAATTCTGGGAGTTGTAGTCTCAACAGATCTAAACTGTGTTCTCATTTCTCATTCTCATGAATTGTGCAATAGCAAACTGTCATGAAGTGAGATCTGCAAAAAAAAAAAAAGGCGAATGATAACAGTTCCTGGGCAAAACAAATTATGTGGACATTTTTTTTATATATTGGGATATTTGGAGGGGGTGAATTGAACACTTAGACATCAATATGTTTCTGCACTTAAAAATTAGCATTATTAAGCTGCAGTTAATTGAGCAACATTATTTTGACAGCGAATGCTTTAGGTATAAGAGAGCAAAACCTGACTAATTATAATTCCTCTTGTTAGATACCCGTTCTTCTCTGTTCCACAGAATTAACACTTATAAAATTATGGGTGTAAATATTATTAATGAAGATTAGCTTGCATTCGGCTGGAGCTCAAGCTTACTCTTGAAATGGAATGGCCCACTTTGTTTTTTATGGATAATTCTAAACCTATCAGAGTGTTCAACAATTATGTCGGGTGCTTAACTGTAAACAACTAAAACACTAGATTGTGCAAAGGGGTTGGGTGTGTGATAATAAGAACTAGTCCTAAGGGTTCATCAAGGTGCTGCATTATAAATAAAGTATTCAGCCTAAATGCTGAAGCACAGGAAAAACTCTTCAAGGAAGCAAAGTCTGTGTAATCTTCTCTCTGTGTGACCTCTTTGTAACCTGAAAAATTTAGGATCTTTATGCTGTTAAATCCCAGATTTTGAAAAATACACTGAATTGGATTCCTATCAGAGTATGTCCTTCTTGTCATATCTCTAACACCAGTCATAACATCATAGAATGGAAGAGTTGCAAAGAGTCTTGGAAATAATCCACTTTAACCCTTTGCTCATGGCAGGAATTGAGGATATTTGTTGTGACAACTCTTGTTCTCTGAAAAGTCTTCTTTTTTTACTACTTCTCTAGTAGCCCTTCCCCAGCCGTTTCATGACCACCACTTCTTTATATTACTTCAACATCCAATCACCTCTTACCCTAATTTTCTCAATTACTTCCAAGCTCTCTTTATCACATACTAAGCCTCTCTTTTTCCTAGCTGAACCATTGACGATAATATATTCAGCTTCCCATACTGCATTCTCTCATCAAAATATATCAAAAACACTCATTTACTTTCCCAAAACATCAAGAGATATACCAATATATCAATCTTTCTTCTAAATTCCCCTTTCATGTGCCTTATATTTGTTGATCTTCTTTCCCAAATGACTTTTTGAGACCAAAAGTATAATTCATACAAAGACAATAGTAAATGATAAACACCTCCCAAAACTAATAATAGCATATAAAAGCAAGATGAACTCCATTTCCTCACAAAGAGCTCACTGATATAAACGTCTTTCTCCAGAGTCTGAAAAACTACGAAATAAGCAATGGTGTAAGCAATGAGATGGAATGTTTCACATCTGGAATGCCTCATTTGAGAAGATTCCCTTTTTGGTTATAAAATGCTAGAGGAGGAACGCCAAATTACAAGTTAACATACAGGCAGGCTAAGGTGGAGACAAACAGTCCCAAACTGTGGAGAATGATGACATTAAGAAGCAGCACCAATCCTGCCCTGGAACGGTTTTTTCATTTCTAAAATACGTATGTACCACCCTCTAGCCCAGAAAAGTATCTTATGGATACTGTAATTTTTAAAAATGTGTGTGTATGTGTGTGTGTGTGTGTTGGGTGGGTTCTACTTACCTTTACTACTGGTTCGCAATGGGAGCGCGCATGCACGCAGAAGCTTCGGCGCATGCGCAGATTGTCAGTTATGATGTCCGGGCAGGTAGGCGGAGCCAGAGACTCCCGCCGCTTTTATTACCGGTTCTAAAGAACCGGACAGAACCAGGAGCAACTCACCACTGGCATGTGTGTGTGTGTGTGTGTGTGTGTGTGTGTGTGTGTGTGTGAGAGAGAGAGAGAGAGAGAGAGAGGGAGGGAGGGAGGGAGGGAGGGAGAGAGGGAGACAGGCAGACAGACAGACAGAGGGAGGGAGGGAGGGAGAGAAAGAGAGAGAGAAATCAAAGTCCTCCTGGACAGTCGTTCAAGAACCCCTTTTCTCACTACCAGTGAAGATGTCATCCTTCTACTGGCTGCCTTCCTCACCTGTGCCCACGATAGGAGGCCTGGATACGAATAGCGGCATTCTGCACCTGAGGATCATTAATGTCCAGGGAGCATCCTGGTGGGGGAGGGGCTGCTGCTTTCTTGGGTGCAGCTTTTGACATCTACAGTGCAAAGGAAAGACAAGGAGGAGGAGGAGGAGGAGGAGGAGGAGGAGGAGGAGGAGGAATGATAGATTAACATAGGAGAGAAAATCCCCATTGCCAAATGGTACAAACTCCAGCCCTCTCTTTGCTTCCATCACCTTCTCACTGTTGGGGGAGGACATTACATTTCCAAGTATGCATCCCCCCATGGACTGCCAAGAAATTTCAGTGAGTGCTATCCTCCCACATCCAGAATCTTCAAAAAATCATCCATTTGGCCAAACTGAAATGACCTTCCAGGTTAGAGAGCTTCCTTTTGACATTCATACTACAAACTCGCCATTGATTTGCATGAGGTAAAGCTGCTAAAGATCCCATCCATCTCCTGGCCCTCATGAGGGAAAAGTTTTCCTTTGAAGCAAGGAAGAAAACACTTCCAGTCAGATGGATAAGACAGAGCTCCATCCTGGCCTCCCCATTGCAAAGGAAGGTTCTCAAATAGGATAATGTTTGGGGGAGGGTCATTAAGTTGGGGCAGAAGTCCTAATATCCTATTATTTTTCCACAAAAAAAGTTGGAATCTCTTACCGTCAATTCTACCAGTGCAGCTCTGCTGGGATGGAAAAGGCCACAAGCCTCTCATCCCACTCAAATTTATATCTCTGGAGGGGAGATCTCAAGTCTGTTCATGCCCCCAACTGCATTCCTGTCCAGGCATCTCCTTCTTTGGCTGGGGTGGGGGGTGGCAAGTGTGCCCCTGCTCAGAGGGGAATCTTGGCACTCCCTTATATAGTCTGCTGCCAGGTACCTGTGAGAATTGGGGCCGCGCTGATTGCAACCCAGTGCTGTGTAATCAGATTGACCAGCCCAGAGAGACTGGAGCAGCTGAACCATTCCTGCCTTTTGCTGAGAGACAGAGAAGGGGAGTGGCAGACTGACACATACACACCCTCTCCGGGTTGCTACCAATATGTGCTGCTGTTCGAGGACCAAAAACACTGGACAGGAGAGAGCACCAGGTATTAGGATCAAGGACAAGTCAAACAGCTTGTAGGAGTCAAGAGATCTACTCCAATGCACACATTTGGTCAGGAAAAGTGATTGAAATGTGCCTTTCACAGATAAAATGGATGCAAATCCAGCAGGTTCTGACAGGTTCTGGAGAACCGGTAGTGGAAATTTTGAGCAGTTCGGAGAACTGGCAAATACTACTTCTGGCTGGCCCCAGAGTGGGGAGGGAATGGAAATTTTGCAGTATCCTTCCCCTGCCACGCCCACCAAGCCACACCCACCAAGCCACACCAAGCCCACCAAGCCACGCCCACAGAACTGGTACTAAAAAAAATTGGATTTCACCACTGATACAAACCTCCATTCATCACACTGAACTACAGAATGGGACAACTCACCATGGGCAACTCGACACAGCCAACTTGTCATGGTCCACTTGCCACAAGACAATTCACTCCAGGACAATTAAACAGTTCGATAGAATTATTTAAAATAGTTTAAAAAATAATTTAATTTTTGTCATTCACATTTCATTTTGTCCCTCCTTTGGCATCCTTTCTTTAATGATTCTATTCTACTCTTTCTTCTATATTAGTGTAACTCTTGTCCACTGGTGAGTTGTCCTGTGGTGAGATGGCTATGGTGAGTTGGCCGCAGCAAGTGGTAATAACTATGTTATTGCAACTCTCCCAGTTATATACTATAATACTAGGCACTAAAATGGAGGATGTTTCCATACAGTATCTTTGCAAATTCAGGGTCAGTTCTCATGAGCCAGGTAGATCCAAGAGGGAGGTACCTTATTACTGGCTCAGATGCCGGCATCTGCAATTTGGGGGGTTCAATAGAATTTGCAGTTCAATAGAACTTTGGGCCAATCTCTTCTCCCCTTGATGGAAATTCTTGCTTCACTCCACCTCCTGGTCTCTGGTTCTCATAGAAATCCACCTATGGCAGCATTAATTTCACCCAGGGGTGAAATGTAAAATTTGTTACTACTGGTTCTGTGGGCGTGGCTTGGTGGTGGTGGGGTTAATGTGACTGGGTGGGCGTGGCCAACTTTTTTTTTTTTAACTTTTCAAAGCATTTTTTCTAATGCTTTGAAAAGCCTCTGACGATCAGGCAACTCAGCTGGGATCGTCAGAGAGACTTTTTAAAAAATGCTGATCAGGCAACTCAGCTGAGATCGTCGAGACTTTTCAAAGTGTTTTTTTACCACCTCTTTGGCCAAGAGGTTGCAGAAAAAAATGCTTTGAAAAGCCTCTGACGATCCCAGCTGAGCCGTGCGATCATCAGAGGCTTTTTTTTTAACTTTTAAAAGCATTTTTTCGTCAGAAGAGATTGTAGAAAAAATGCTTTTAAAAGTTAAAAAAAAAGCTTCTGATGATCGTGCGGCTCAGCTGGGCATGGGGGGGGCAGGGATTTTTGCTACCGGTTCCCCGAACCACCCGCCACCATTACTACCGGATCGGGCGATCCAGTCCGAACTAGGAGCATTTCACCCCTGATTTCACCCCTTTTCAAAGTTGGTGGGGAAAAGGCTACATTTGAAGGATTATGCAGCAGAAATAGTGATGGCATGGAATGACATAGGAGCGGCATGTGTGCTCAAAGTGTCTATCATGCAGAGCTTCAATATGTCTCTCCTTAAATTTTATTCATTTATTCAGTTTCTATAGCCACCCAATTCAACCACATGGCGCTTGGTTACTTACAATTCTAAAACTATAAAACAACTAAACAATAAAAACATAAATACGTACAGCAGCCAAGATAATTAACCAGAAAAGTACCATAAACAGTAAAGCCAAAAAATGGTACCCTTAACACACCTGAATCCTAGGCCCAAGTAACATAGCCAAGTTTTTAAAGCCTTGAGAAAGGCCAACAAGGTTGCAGCCATTCTAATTTCTAAGGAGAGGATATTCCACAAGACTGGCTAGAGCAGAGAAGGGCTGACTTCTAGTTCCCACCAGTCAACACCCTTGGCAGACAGGATCTGCAGTATGTCCAATCTGCTAGATTGAATTGGATGTTTAGAGACTCTTGGAAAAAGATGGTCCCCAAAGTAACACAGTCCCAAACCATGTAGGGCTTAAAGAGGACAACCAGCATCTTGAATTGCACCTGGAAACACACTGGCAACCAGTGCAACTCATGTAATTACATTTAGGCAAGAAAACCCAAATGCGCAGGTATAGAATAGGTGGTACCTGGCTCAATACTAGTAATTATGAGAGGGATCTTGGAGTCCTAATGGACAATCACTTAAATATGAGCCAGCAGTGTGCTGCAGCTGCCAAAAAGCCAACACAGTCCTAAGCTGCATTAACAGAAGGATAGAATCAAGATCACATGAAGTGCTAGCACCATTTGATAATGCCCTGGTAAGATCACACTTGGAATATTGCATCCAGTTTTGCTCGCCATGATATAAAAGAGATTTTCAGACTCTAGAAAAAGTGCAGAGAAGAGCAACAAAGATGATTAAGGGACTGGAGGCTAAAAACATGAAGAACAATTGCAGGAATTGGGTATGTCTAGTTTAATGAAGAGAAGGACTAGAGGAGACATGATAGCAATGTTCCAATATCTCAGGGGTTGCCACAAAGAAGAAGGAGTCAAGCTATTCTCCAAAGCACCTGAAGGCAGGACAAGAAGCAATGGATGGAAACTAATCAAGGAGAGAGGCAACCTAGAACTAAGGAGAAATTTCCTGACAGTTAGAACAATTAATCAGTGGAATGACTAGCCTCTAGAAGTTGTGGGTGCTCCAACTCTGGAAGTTTTTAAGAAGAGATTGGACAACCATTTGTCTGAAATGTTATAGGGTTTCCTGCTTGAGCAGAGGGTTGGATTAGAAGACCTCCAAGGTCCGTTCCAAATCGCTATTATTCTATTAGTAATGGTATTGTACATGTGCTGTGTATCTGGCACCATTTACTACATGTGAAGTCACACTCTGTACCAGTTGAAGTTTTCAAATACTCTTCGAAGGCGACTCCATGTAAAGCATGTTGCAGTGATCTAAGCAGGTGGTTACAAGGGCATAGATCATGATGAAGAAGGTTTCCTGGTCCAGGAATAGGTGCAACTGGTGTACCACCTGAAGCTGTGCAAAGGCTCTCCTAGCCACAGCTGCCACCTATGCTTTGTGTAGGAGCTATGAGAATAGGAGGACCCCCAGATTGTATATTAGAGCTGTATACACAAGTAGTGCTACCCCAACCAGACTTAGAGATGGAAGAACCTTGTCTCCAGAGGGTCCAAATACCCACAGCTACGCAGTCTTGCTAGGGTTGGAGCCTATTTTGCCCTATTTAGACCTAAACAACCACCAGACACTGGGATAGGATATCCACAGCATCACTCAAGGGGCCTGGAGTAGAGATATAAAGCTGTGTGACATTCACATAAAAAAACCAAAAACAAATGAAAAGTGCTGAGTCTGCACATCCAATTAAAAAAAGTTAGCCAAAGGTAAAACTAAGCAAGCTTAGCCTTCTGTGCAAATGCATCCACTATTGTTTTAAGAAAAAACCAGCTTGATTACTAATTTTATTGTGTAACATGCAGCCAACATATTTAAAAACTATCTATTTTGCCATCAAGTGAAGTATCGGAAAAAAGACACCAAAGGTGCCTTTTGAAAGATAAGTTAATTATGAAACTATATTTATTTATTTATCTAACTAACTTTATTGTTAAAACTATTTTGTGGTTAGGGTATGTGTATTTTCATTGATCCTTCCTTCCTTCCTTCCTTCCTTCCTTCCTTCCTTCCTTCCTTCCTTCCTTCCTTCCTTCCTTCCTTCCTTCCTTCCTTCCTTCCTGGATATTTTAGGATGAGATGTTCCTGAGCAGTGAGTCTACTGACTTATCTACACATTTCCAGCCCTCTCCCATCTTACTACCATCACAGTTAAGAGAATACTCCATTGTCAGTCCACCATAGAAAGGTATTATAATCCAAGAAATCCAAGGTCATTATAAATGTATTGGCTTTTAAGATGTTAAAACACTCTGCTGAAGTTCTTGCAACATGCTTAATATGATTACTGAATTAACCATTGTGGGGGTGGGAGTTTCACAGTATGTTGAACCACAGTATAATCATACAAGTCTTTGCTACAACAGATGAATGAAGCAGTTCTGAAATAACTCAGCTATGAGGCGATTTTTAAAAAATTAATTCGGGGGGGGGGGTTAATTAAAAAGATAAAATACTTTGACTTGTTTAAGAATACTTTTTCGCTAATTTGCAGTTTCAGTATAGCTAGCTAGCTTGTCTGATATTTTCCAGTATGTTAGTTGGTTGAAAAGTATACATAAAGGACGTACAATAGTTCAAATGTTTTAAAGGTGTTTGAGAAGTGTTGAGTGTACCAGATTTCCAGAATGGCATCTGAGCCTCCTTCCATCTCTCCTTGCAGATACAGCTTCAAGGACTTGGAAGGCTACCTCTGACTTACTCGTGTGAGTAGGAGAGTGGCAGTGGTGGGATTCAGCCAGTTCGCAGCACTTCAGGAGAACCGGTTGTTAACTTTCTGAGCAGTTTGGCAAACTGATTGTTGGAAGAAATCATTAGGGCAGAGAACCGGCTGTTACATTACTTGAATCCCACCACTGGAGAGTGGGCATGGGTGTCATAATGAGTTAGGGTTTTGAGTCATCTGGTTAGTACTGAACTCTTCTCATTAGCAATTCTTAAGATAGTAATAAAGAGAGTTCCTAGCG